GTCCTAAACAATAAAAAATATGTAAATGATTTGAATATATTAATATTAGTGTAACTATTAATACATACCACCAATATCAGCATAAGTTTCTTGTGGAGCTTTTTCTAATTTCATTACTGTAACCATAGGGTCAGTATCATCACCTAACACTCCAACAACCGCATGAACTTTATGGTTTAACAAAACTGAACATCCTGGTTCTAACTGATCTTTATCCACAAATGACAAAATTGACACATAATGTTCAGAACCAACAGATGTAGAAACTATAGCATGATTATCATCAATTATTTCTTCTAATGTTCCAACAGACATTGGAGTTCCACGTAAGTCATCAACTTTAGACCTTTCCTCCTCATTCTTTTCTTCTTGTGGTTTTAGTCTTTCCTGGTTTGTAATAAATTCTTCTTCCATCAATAAGTAATCTTTTATACGTTCCAACTTTAAAAGTTTCAATCTACAACGTGTATGTGGTGTAACTTGTGGTAATTTTAAGGCAGCATCTGGCCCCTTTGTACGGCGCTTCTTTTTGCCAACCCTTGTTGGAATAGGAGGTTCATACTTCTTTTTCTTATCTTTATCATCCTTCTTATCACCCCCTGTACCACCAGTACCAGACTGATTTTGTCCCTATTAACGGTAATTGTTGCAACGTTAAAAATTACATCCAATTTTTGAAAATATATTATAAATTAATTGAGAGATATCAATAGTTCATAAAACATTTCACTTTGAACAATACAGTAAGACTTCATATAACAAAATAAAAATTTTACACTACGTTAACCTAAAATGTTAAGTGACATTTAAGAAAAGAGATCATAAATTGTAGTTCCTACAAATTTTGTTAAACGTTTTATTACAAATTCTCTTATATAGTATCAATTGATTATTTTATACTTATTTCAAGCAATTTAAAAATACGTACCATCACACGTCTATTGTTTGATCATTGAACGAAACAGCGAAGTCATTCACACTGAAAAGGTTGTATCGATTACGATTTCGATATTTGTTTTCGTAAGATATCGAAATAATTCGATATATTTTCAAAATTGCTGGAATGATTTTTATATAATTATAAAATTATACAGTATATTTTTATCATACCAATAATAACATTAAGATTCATTAGAAGTACTTTTAATTAACATATTAAAAGGGATTAATATACATATGTTGTTTTACTTATAAATAAACAGTGCAAATATAGAAATGATTTTCATCCATTTTCAATGTGCATGAGTATAGTTGAACAACGTTAACGATATTTAGTTTAATGAAATTTTATTTCAGTATTTAGATACATTTATTTTTTGCAATAAAATATCTTCTAGTTTTTCAATTGTCGCTTCTGTATGACGTCTCACAAATTAAGGTCATCAGAATAAAATAAATAATCAAAAATAATGACATTATTGTTACCAACATTTGTTTACTGTTTTACTTCAGTTTTAAAAAATATAAATATACACGAAATTTTTGCATTACATATTGTGAAATAACAAAAACATGCTGTCCAATAATATAAGCCATATATAAAATCAGAAATATCATTATAATATTAAATAAATTATGAAATCTTTTACGATTTGACGATATTAAGTTTTTTTTCAATTATTTAGCGCGTTTCAAGTGTGAGCCCATAAAAATATTAAAATCTACATTTCAACTCTTTTATATTGCACGTCACTTTGAGTTTAGAAGTATGATATATGAAAGGACAACAGTTTAATTAAATCGAAATCTATGTTGTAGAAAGATCAATTCATTTAATATTGAAATATCAATGAATCGAAACAATACTTCGTTAATAAGATAAAGTCTTCACATTGAAATACTTTATGTTACTTCGATTATGTAATAGTGTTTTTTTTTACTTTCGTTTATCACAATGATTAATAATTATTTGGAAATATGTTTTTAAGTAAAAGCCTCGATAAACATAATATAATACGTGTACAAAACATTCTGGATGTAATGAGAGCCGTATTTGAAGCGATGCAATGAAAATATTTACGGTGCTCAAAGACCAGCTAAAATAATTCTGGGATCTTCTACAGCGTCTTTGATCTTTCTCAAAAACATCACAGCCTCGCGCCCATCAATTAATCGATGATCATACGTTAAAGCGACATACATCATTGGACGAATTACGACCTGAAAAATATTGACATAATTAATAAAATGATTTATTTTAGATCAAACATTTTGACATTTACCTCGCCCTTGACTGCAATGGGTCTATCAAATACCCCATGCATTCCAAGAATAGCACTTTGTGGCGGATTAATAATAGGTGTTCCCAGAAGGGAGCCGAAAACACCACCATTGCTTATTGTGAATGTACCACCATCCATATCTTCTACCGATATCTTTCCTTTTCTTGCTTTATCGCTTATAGCAGCCAAAGCAATTTCAATTTCTGCAAAATTTTTGTTCTCTACACTACGAATAACTGGTACAACAAGACCTTTCGGCGTTGCAACGGCGACACTGATATCAACGTAATCTCTATAAACAATATCAGTGGCATCTATTACAGCATTTACTACTGGTTGATCTTTCAAAGCATACGCAGAAGCCGCAATAAATGGACTCATAAATCCAAGCTTTAAACCATATTTCTTTGTGAAGCCTTCTTGATGTGTTTTACGAAATTCCATGAGACGGCTATAAAAAATACAATTCCATTAATAATTATGGAACAAATATTGAGAATCAAAACTATAGTAGCGTATAACAACCTCATATCAATTTCATTAAACGTTGTTAACATAGCGTTCGTGTTTTGAGCATCTTTCAACCTTTCTGCAATACGTAATCGCATTCTATTCATTTTCACTCGCTGTTCCGTCCTCGTACCGATGATTTCACGCGAATAATCACTGGGAGGTAGCTGTACTTTCGCACCTTCCAGTGCCTGGAAATTTCGAAATTTTTATTACAGAAAGTAACTAAATTGCATTGAAAATTCTTACCTGAGCATGTTTAATTGCAGCAACTGGCATGGATGCTGCAGGTGCCTGTGGAGGTGTGGGTTTAGCTGCTGGAGGTGGTACAGATGGAGGAGGTGCAGCAGTTGATGGAGGTGGCGGCGGTGGTGTAGGTGTTGGCTGTGGTGGCGGAGGCGGTGGTGGTGGCGGCGGTGCTGCGGTAGTAGGTGGAGGTCTTGGAGCTTCTGCAGGCTTTGCAGTTGCTGGTGCAGCTCCGCCAGTAGCACCAATGTCAATAGTACATAATTTTTGTCCTGGTTTTACAGTTTCACCATCTTTTGCAAAAACCTCTTTTATAACACCAGAGCCAGGTGATGGTACAGGAACTGAGGTCTGCAAACAAATTAGCATAAATTTAAAAATTACACCATATTAATATTGTATACAGTTGTTTACTTATTTATTTTACCTTATCTGTTTCAATTTCACACAAGACATCATCCTCTTTAACTTGGTCACCCACTTTCTTATCCCATCTGACATCTCCTTCGCTTACACTTTCCGCGAATGCTGGTACTACAACTTCCTTTATTTCCCCTGTTTTTACAAACATAAATTATATAAAAATCTATAACACTTTCAGTACCTCTTTTCATCTACCTAAAAATTTACTTACATAATGTGGCTGTTGAATGAACATGTCTTGTCTGATCTCTCCAACAGTGAAATTTCTTATACCTTGTATATCTAAATAACAATATATATTTAGATTGAAACTATTAAATTAATTATATGCTATTTAGGAATCAAACAATCTAAGAATGTGTAATAATTAACTTACAACTGAGAATTCCTGCTGACCACATGTTCGGTGTGGATAAATAGTATGTGCCCTACAAAAATGATTTGATACAATTAGTAGTTTATGTTCATGGTTATCCCCAATGTTGATATGCCTCTCTATAAAGATAATATTTTTAGATTTTCAACATAGCTCACCAATCTTTTAAGTTTCATCATTTTTAATATCCATTTAGCCTTACCTTGACTATGTAAAGATCTGACAACCTGAAATAAAGATTAACATGTATAAAACGTTTCTTCATTGTTCTACTTTTCAAACGTTATGATGTAAAAATAATGGGTATAAAAGAAAAGATAAAAATAGATAATGTTTTTATCTTAGAAAAGAAACCTTGACTTCTAAGTTATAAACAGCTTAAAGGCGACCGAATTCTACGAAGACATCTAAAAAGAGAATTCGATAGACTCGTAGACTAGAATTCAAAGTCGACAGTTGTAGAAAATTTTTTAATTTTTTATTCATGCACCGTTAAGATGCTATTATATAATCAATGTTGAAGGTAAGGGTAGTATTTCGGCAACCTTGATTGTATGTTCTCTACTTCAAAGGGCGTTAAGTTCTTTTTACTTAATGTAGGTGTCATGTGTATCTTGGGTGTACTTAACATACGAAAAACGTAATTATGAAAGAAAAGCTCACCTTCGTTTGTGATATACTAATTCTTGTTCTTATACGAGGCACAAACCGCGAACAGTTGGACAGCATCGCGGCCATCCTCTAACGGAAAATCACAACTCTGATATTCACTCTCGACTCTCGTGATGGTAAAGAGACTGTACCGAACTGTACAACTGGCACTGGCACGTCAGTGGCTAGATTATTGCGACAGCCGCGTGTTCTAAAATTTGCTTGCTATTGGTGTGTTCCAAAATGTGCAAAAACTATAAACCATGAACTTAGATAAGAATAAAAAACGCCGTGGAGATTACAAAATTCTCCTTATAATGAATGTTTTTAGTTAATTTATATACCTACATAAAAATCTTTTCACAATTCAACTTTACAATCGCAAACTCCCTCAAACGTAATGAAATTAATCTTTACAAAACTATCTTTATACAACTCTTGAAAAATGTAAAATGTTATATTGATAAATGTATTGATAATTATATGGTAATTGAAAAAATAATCTTGTTTCATCATTTGCAACTATTTCTATGCGCGTAATGTATGTATATTGCGCAATAAAAGATAGTAAAAGTTGCTAAAGATAGATGTAATAGTATAAGGTGTGATATTTACATAGCAATAAGGTTTTTAACAATGAACCCTGATAATTTTGAAAATAATTTGAATGTTTTGAACGATCTTATAAATTTGCAAGTTCGTGACTAAGTTTGGGTTTTTAAATGTGAACAGCGAAAAATGTAATTAAAGGCGCAATACAACATGACGGTTGTACATAACGAACGTGTTTGTGCAAATGGTGCGAATGCAACATACAGTATATAGTGTTTGATCGTTGACTGTCACGTAAAAAAGCTACAATTAAAAAAAAAAAGCATTTCAGTTGAACCAAGTTGAACAGATGCATTTAAGAGGTAACTGTCTGTTATTTATTGAGGTTGACGATATTTGTCGTGCAACATGGCGATTTGAATAATAAGTGCACGTCGTTTTGTTGTTATTGCGTTTATGAAGGAAAGATTATACATAATATTCTTCTTGTAACAACACAAAGAAATATGTTTATGTTGATCATAGTACATGTTGTGGAACTTCACAGTAATTGAAGAATTTTTGTTGTCAAGAACATTTAAGAATAATAGAATATTCTTTTCTATATACTTTATGTACAATTTTGACTGTTACTTACAATAAGTTATAGTTATTTAAATATCTGCATCAAGTTCATTTAACTATGAAATTATTAAAATGTGTGTTATAATGGATTTACAAATTTCTATAAAATGTTTCCTTTTATGGAATGATAAAAGAACTGTAAAAGAACTGTAGGCTCAAATGTACTACCATAATTAAAGTGACATTATTAACAGTGGGCAATGAGCAATAGTGGATTCAGAGGAAGAGGTTTTGGACTAAGGGGAGCTCGTTCAAATGGTCCTGCCAATAGCTTCAATGGGCCCAGATTTCCGCATCCTGGATTTAATCATCCACGACCACCGCGACCACCTGGACCTGAAAAATGGATGGAACGTCCCAATTTCATGTTATGGCAACAAAATAAAAATTTTCTTTCGCATCCACAATATAGAGGTAATTTACAGTTTCGACCAAATAATAGAGGACGCATAGCAAGTGGTCGTGGAATAGTAAGATTTTCTGGTCCGGGTAGACCACCAGCTCCTCAGTATTGTGTGGGTTTTGTAAGAAATCCTGCACCTAGAGCATCATTATTACAAGAAGAGCAAGTAGATGATAAATCTGCAATAGTACCGCATATTCCTCTGCTTGGTTCTGAAGAAGAACGTCAGCAGAAGATTACAGAAACAGCTGATAAATTAAAACAGAAATTATCCTCTATAACAGAAGAAGAGCTTACAAATTTTTGGGAAGATGACTTATCTGTTTTACAAAATAATGGTTCAGTAGAAGAAAATACTCAAAACAAGGGTATTCCTGAACTTAGACATGAACCTCCAGAACTTGACTTGACTTTTACCGACTTCAAAGATATAGGTAGAGTTGATTGCAATAGTTCAAAACTTGAGAATACAGATGATACATTTAATAATGATGAAATTTTAATTACTTTTGAAGAGAGACCTACAGATAAAGTGACAAATGATGAAATTATTGTTATTGATGAAAATAAAGAAGAATCTTTAAATACCTCAAACTTAGTACAGGATAAAGATGTTTTGAATCAATCAAATATGTTAGAAAATAGTGAATATCATACAGAAATTGTTCATGACTTGCCTAATTCTAAATGTAATTTAGAAAATTTAAATGTACCATGCAATAATGTTATAGAAGATTTAACATGTTCAAATTCAAATGATACAGATGAAAAGTCATCTGATTTAAAAGAGAATTTAATAAATTTGGCATCCATAAGATTAACTGATGATTTAACAACAGAAAAATCTTCAGATTTGAGTAAGGTGAAAGCAACATCTAAATCGGAAACAATTATAAATGATCAAGATGTGTTTCAAGTAGATTTTTCAAAAAAAAGAGATTCAGCACTAATAGATACAAGGGATACAACTGTTCATCAAATTGATAATGCAGAAACAAAGTTAGTAAACAGTGAGCAAAATCAAAATGATGTACAAACTAAGGTATCCCAAGAAGAAACTTGTCAAAATTTGGTAAACATATCTGATCATTCTCAAAAAAGGTCATTAAATATTTCACCTTCCAGCGAAGAAATTCATTTAGATAATGTCTGTCGCTCAAAATCTTCAGTATGTCCAAGTTACACTGAAGTAAATAAGTTAAATCATGATACAAGATTGAATAATTCACCTGTTTTTCAACCAAGGGTCTTTAACATACCTCCTAGGTTTACTCCAAGAATTCAAGGACCTAGATGTCGTTGGACGTTTCAACAAAATGGAAAAAATTTATTATCTCATGGATCTCAAAGATTACCTTTTCATGGGAATAGAATGACTCCTCCGAGACATATTACACCGTTTCAGCCAAATGATTTGGTTCCAGTTATGTTTGGTTCAAGAGCACCACCACCATTTGCACCTGTTTCCAGCCATGATCATCAACAGAATGTACCATTCTCTTCTAAAGATTTGCCTCTTGCATTTGATCCAAGTGAACCTCCGCCAAATATAAGATCAAATGCAGTGATCGAGGCATCTATTATGCAGCCACATCCTAACTTTCATCCAAGAGGACCACCACCTAGAATTTCAACTAACGAACAGTTACCTGGATTTAATCCTCAACATCCAGCAGCAAAAGTTCATAAAAGAGATGAAACTCTTCAGCCACCACCGATTTTTGACCCACGACTTTCATCACGGGAACGTTCGAGTTTAATTACTCCATTAGATTCTTCAAGATCAAATATAGTACCCGTAAATTTAATGGAAACAACACCAATATCGGATTTTAATATAGCATCAAATTTTCCTCAATTACCTTCTATGAATATACCGACTCATCAACCTTACATTTCTAATGTACAAACGAATTTTCAACCTATTGTACCACAAACAAATAATGGGCAAGTAATGATGAGAGATTTTCCATTACTTCCACCACCTATAAATATTACTAACGTTCCACTACCTCAGCTAAAAGAACCTTCGTTAGAACAAACTTCTAGTTCCAGCCAATGTATAAATATGGATGATGGCTTGGAAGATATGCAAGAGGCAATGGAATTTGCAAAACAAGTCATGAATATGACAAAGGAAGTAGAAAATGAAAATATACCATCAGTGTGTTCGAAATTACCATTAACACCATCAGAAATTCCTATACCAAATGAAGATGTACCTAATTCTTCATCGTTAGAAGAAGAATATCCTCGTATATTAAAGAAGCAGAAAAAGAAAGAAAATAGAAATAAAAAATGTAAACAAAATATAATTTGTGGTCCAGAATTAAATAATGAAAAGCAAGAGGATATTAAAGCAATGGATGAAGAACAAATTCCACAAAATCAAAATAAAAATAACGATGGAACGTTATTAACACAAGATCAAATTCGACCTAAAGTAGTATTTAATTTAAGTTCCAAAACAAAGAAAATACATAAATCAGAAGAGTGGAATAGAGCTCCTGTAAGTAATCAACAAAATAAGGAAACTTATCAGCAAGGTGTAACTCAAAAATGCAGTACAGAAAAGGTGATGCCTAAAAAATGTCTTGAAAATGAAAGAAATAGTACAATTCAAGATGAGAATCAGCAGAAAGAGGATAATGCTAAGGCAAACTTAACAGATTACATACAGACCGATCAATTAAATAACACGCTTTGTCATCAAGATCATCCCAAAGATTTGGAAAAATCACATCCACATTACTCAAATAATTTGAATACACAAAAGAATCAAACGTCCAAAAAGGAGTCTAAAAAGGTAGAAGCTCCTACTTCAGAATCTATGTGGAAAAGTAGAGTGATCAGTCGTTTTCTGAAAATGAGTAAAAACGATATTTGCAATATGGTTAATAATTCGAGTCTTCGCAAGTTCGATATTGCAATGAAACATTTGGTAAAAGAAAAAAGACCTTCTCTTTCTTTAGAAATGAGAAACACAGAAGATGAAAAAATGAAAGAGTACGATAGAGAAGAATTTATGAATCAATTGAATGCAATGCTAGATCCAGGTGCTGTAGTGGCTATTACAGATTTACCAACGGAATTCATTCATCATTTAAGTGAAGTCTTGCAGCTTGATCCAATGCCATTTGATCTTGAATTACCTGAAACACAAAATGCAGATCAGAATGATGTTTCAAACATAAATACTACTAAACGTTCAAATAAAGGAATCACAGAATCTGGAGAAGATAATTCTTTGTACAATGGGGAAGAATTTTCTCATTTTTCTTTTTCACAGGAAAACGTTAAGTTATTGAAGTCTAATAAATTAAATAAGAAACAGCAACAACCATTGTTCAATGAAGCAGATCTGGATGATATATTGTCAGAGGTTACAGATAAAACAAGAAAAAGTACAAAGCAAAGTATGATTTTATCGCTAGTACCAGAAAAATCTATTAAATCATGTAAAAGTTCTTCATTGATGCAACCAGCGATAGAACCTCTAGAACGTAACACATTTTTGCATATTTCTAATAAAACAGCTGCTGATCTTGATGACATTTTTTCAGCTGGAATCGCACGGGTTAAATCACATGGTAAAAGTACGGATTCGGATACCTTCAGATCTGAAAGGTACGAAAGATGGAACAGAAAAGATCAAGATGATCCAGATTCATTCAGAAATTTAACTAAAGAGGAATGGGAAGCCAAGTATGGATCTATAAATTCCACAACAGGTTTAACGATTCCACGAAAATGTTCCTCTAACAGTGTTGACAATCTGAGAATAGAGACAAAAAATGAGGAGAGGGAAAATTATCGTACACAGAGATATTGTTCATCAGATTCACCAATGAGACATTTAAGCTTAAGTCCCACGACGCGTGAAATTTCTCTATCGAGCCTATGTATCAGTGAATCAGAAGAAATGCGAAGAGTTGAATTATCGGAAAGTAACAGTGATTTAAGCACAACTAGTTCAAGCGATACTGACGAGGAAATTGTTTCTCCGAATGTGACAAAACTGTTAAAAGTCATTAAGGAAAAGGAAAAGATCGCGAAGAAAAGATCACTTAATGAAACGATAAGAGACGAAGTGGCTGCGGAAATAGAAAAAAAATGGAAGGAAAAGAGTAAATATAAAGAACGTAAATCTCGTAAACGTGAAAGAAGGAAAAGAGATAGAAAGGAGAGGCGCAAGAGAGAAAGGAAAAAACGGAGGAGCAGAAATTCTTATTCTGATACTTCAAAATCCAACGAGCACATGGAAGAGTTCCAATTACTCACAGAGAATGAAATAAAAAAGGAAGTAATTGTCAAGGAAGAACCAGCAGTAAGTACAGTCCAGGAGAATGTTACATTTAATGATGAAATTAATAATTTTTCTATTATTCCCACTTTGGCTAATAAATCTGACTTAGTTTCACTAATTGAATCTCAAAATTCACAGATAGAAAAACAGCAGATGTCTCGGGTTACGTGTGACATAACGTCGTCGCAAAATAGGAATAAACCAACCGTTGTTTCTATAACGGTGCAACCAAAAACGAAGGCACAATTAAAACAAATGCCAGAATTTAATAATATTCAAGAGAAGCAAATTGCAGTTACAAAAAATAATATATTAAACATGGAGAGTAAAAGCATGAAAGACCAAATTGAGAAGAGGAAAAATAATGAAACAACAAAGAATAATAATGAACGAATAGATGCTGTTTCGCCTATAAATAATTCTTTTCATCAGATTAACGTATCTGTAAACATTACTGAACCGTCTACACTTATTCAACCGCAGATTGAAACTGTTAGTAATAATAATGGTATGAACACAAAGTTACTTATGTGTAGCACTTCAAATCCTATTACTGAAGTTAATGTAAGTAGTCAGTGTATTGATCAGAAAATAGTTGCAACAGGTACTTCTGCACTAGAGAGAAAAGGTAATTATAAGAAAATAGATATTAAAGCGTACAAAGAACGTGCGTTGCAGAAACGATTGAAAGAGCAAGATACATTAAAAGAAAATTCAAAAAATTCTGTTTCGTTTCATAAAACTTTGAGACATACTTCACCGATACACGCCACCGAGATAAAGACGATAGAATTAGATGAAAGTAAAAAGCAGTTTGGAGATCCGCAATTAGATACAACTAAACCAGCAAATATTCCGACCAAGGAAAATTCTAAGCAAGAAGCTAAAGAGAAAATTAACTTAGAGAATAAAGAATCTTTAGTTTCTGTACAGCCGAACAGTGTCAGTGGGTCAAGATTAGATATTGAAAAAAATAATACGGTCCTTGATGATTCTGTTAAGGTTCATAAAAATGATTTGAAATCTTCTTCTCAAGATACGACTGTACTATTGTCCACAAAACTACTACCGTCTACAGTCGATTCCGCTAAATTTAAAAACATTCGATCAGAAGGAGGTAAAGAATTGAAACTAAAGAAAGAAAAGGTGAAAAAATCTGTTGAAAAAAAGAAAAAACTGTTGACAAGAGAGAAACAAGCAGAAAAATGTATAGATAAAAATATTGAAGGTGCACATATACCAGCAATTATAAGTACAAGTAGTACTAATCAAATTACTGAAACAAGTGTAAGTTTATCTGAAACTCAAACTACCCATTCTGAAACATCTTCTAATGCAGATGCATTGGTAGCTGATAGTAAACCTAAGGAAGATAATGTTTGTTCTATGACAGCAGGAACCACCGGTGTTTCGTCTACCGACGATGATAATGAACAAGCTACTGATCAGATCAATGAAAAGATTTCAGAAAGTTCGACAAATTTAAAAAACAAAAAAGACGGTATTAAAATTAACGAAGTAAGTGTAGGAACAGCTGAGCCTGTGTTGCCTCTTTGTAAAGAATTATCAGTGAGTTTAATTCCACTTGAGCATACTCCACAAATTTCCATCGCAAAATCTATTACCATAGGAGAATGTGAAACAGGTACAATATCTCCTCCAGATATCGTTAATAAGGAATCACTTTCTTCATGTGAACGTGTTGATATTAACATTGAAAAAGAAAATGTAACTCCTATCACAACTGAAAATAATATAACTTCAAATATACAAGATACACAAGCTTTAAAAGCTGTTAATGAGAATGACAATGCAAAGGATAATAATGAATCTGTGCTTCAGTTGCAAGCTGTAGAAATTGCAAGTGATTATGATAAAGAACAGGAAGACAAATCTCCATGTAGTCCAAAAAGTCCATTCAAAGGTTTTCGTGAGGAATCCATTAAGGAAAATATTAATCGGGTATCTGAACTGTATAATTTAAAAGTAAACGATAAAAGTAATGAAAAAAATGCCGAAGAATGTTCTGAGCAATGGTTAGAACCACGTCTTGATAGTAAATCTGGTAGTGATCAAGCTACTGACAATGAGTCTTCTAAAAAACGAAAAAAAGACAGTGAAACATCAGCTTGTAACTTAATAAAACCTCAAAGTTCTACCGAAGGAGATACTACCGATGGAATTATTCACGATAATTTAAACATTATAGATAACACTGAGGTGGGTGGAAAAATATTAGAAACAGAAGATGGTAATATAATACAAGAGCAAAATGAGCAAGAAAAAGATATTTCACCTATGATCAATACACTCAGCCAGGATACATTTGACGAAAATAGTGAACCGTTTATTGTATTGGATGAGTATATAGATGATGCAGATGAAAAATCAATTGAGAAATTAAATACTCTTGATTTAGATCTTGAAGACTGTGTTGCAAGAGATGCAGATATATTTACGAGTCAACATCTCGAAGAAGAAAGGTGTTCAACGAACAGCATTAAATCATCGAACTTCAATTCGATAGATTTCAAAGATTTATCAGAAGTCTTGGATAAGAATAATGATCGTGAAGAGAATCAAGATCATATCATTTCCACAGAGGATAAAGAGAAGTCACAAAATTCTAAATCAACTAATTCTATTATATCAACAATTCTAACAGAATCTCCACAGGATACTGAAACAAATACTCTACATAGTAACAATATGTCTCTGCATGATTCCGTAAGATCGGTAACACCTAAATTATCACTTAGAGAATCAAGAACTATAGAAGATGTTCATACCATTAATATACCAGAAAATAATTCTCAACTTAATTTAAAATGTTTCAACGTAATAAGATCAAGAACTACATCCGCTAAAAGTGAAACCTCGCTGAAGTTAAATGTTCCAACAAAAACTACTTTAAGAAAATCATTAGAAAATCTATCCATAGTTGGTACATCGTTGTCTGAAACGAATGTTGAGTTTTTAAAATCGAATAAAGAAACAAATAGCAGCGAACAAAAGGATAGTCTTGTAGATAAATCGATTTCAAAAACTTTAAGCAAATCAAACCAAAGAGAAGAGAATGATGCATTGCATAATGTAAAAAATAAATCTAAAATGAAACATAAAAAACGAAAGAAGCGTGATGTGTCAGAAAAGATGATAAAAGAAGCAGTGAACTCAGATGTTGTGGAAGTTAAACATCCAAACACGAAAGAAACGATCCTAGCTAGAATGATCGAGATTGATGTTGAGATTCATAAATTAATGACGGAGAAAATGACTCTATACCAGATGCTGACAAACGATACTTTACCAACCGAGAATAATTTGCAACAAAATAATGTAGTACATGAAAATAAAGTGGAAACACCGTCTGTGTTAATGTCACATTTAATACAGAATCTTGAACCTAGTCCTGTAACAAATCAGTGTGCCAAAAGAAGTATAGAAACTGTATCCGTAAAGGACATCACGGTTAATTCTGTACAATCAAATGTATCTAAAATACCAAATAAACGGGAACATCGTGCGGAGAAAAAGGGAAATTGTACTTCCACTTGTGATTCTGACGAAGAAGAGATCATAAATACCGAAGGTAAGAAATCATCAACTTCTAATAAAAAGAAAAAGCATAGATCTGAAAGGACAACTAAAAAATTGGAAAACAAATTAGACAGTAATGTATGTGTGAGTGATTTACGAGAGTCAATTGCAGAAAAGAGACAAGCTAATGGAATTAAGTCATCATCTAAGAAAATCAGTGCAAAACAAGTAACAACAGAACATAAGTCTAGTCATAATTCAATAAATGAGATTAAATCTCAAGAAGATTCTAATGGAAAACCTGTACAACAAATTAATAAAGAAGATTCATCTAGCGATACTAAAGTGGAGATAGATCTTAATAAAGACGGTGGAAAAGTTGTTGAATCTACAGAATTGTCAAAAGATGAAGAGAACTGTTCGGTAAAAAATAATGAGAATACAACAGAAATTTCAAATAAGAAATATATACGTTTAAATTCAGCAATAAAGCCATTAGAGAAGAAACCATTGGAGAAGCCATTAATATATTCTGATGATAGTACTTGGGATTCTGTTCTTCAGAATTCAAGTGTACGTAATCAAAAGAAATCAAATACAGGACTTGCCCTTTTGGAGGAAACATACAAGAAAGAAATGGCGAAAACGCGAAAAATAAGAGTTGAAACGCGAAAGAAGAAAAAGAGAAAAATACATAGTGTACCAGAGGCTGTCGATAATTTAACTCCTGAAGAAGAGGAATTATCATTATCCGCACTGCGTGTTAAAAAGTTACACAAAAAGAAAAAACTACTTAATTCCCGAGATCAACGACTAGAAGAAACAAATACTGATCAACAGCTTTGGAGAAATGTGGTTGAAGTAATCAATGCTGTGGCAGAAAACAGAGCAGAACAGTTTCATGTAGAAGGATCAGAGAGACAATCAAGTGGTGATACTGGAGATATTGTACCTGACGTAACTGATGTAGAAAGAGATTCAAAATCAAAATCGTTAGAAGAAAGAGAAGATAATACAAGTAACGATCTTAACAAAGACAATTTACAATCAACATTATGCTATGATGAACCAATTCAACAAAATTTGAAGAACAGTGTAACATCAAAGAGTGTAAGCAATTTGTTTGAAACGCCCATATTTAACAACATGTCTGAAGAAAATATGACAGAACCCGTTGTACAAGAAAGTTTGGAAAATAATAGCATAGAAATTGAAGATTCAAATATAGAAAATGTACATAACATCAATAATATCTCAGATGTTACAAAAACAGTCCTATATGAAGAAAAAGCAGATAAAGTTGAAGAATTAAATTTAGAAAAGGAAGATGTTAATATTAATACGAATCCTGTAACAAAGGAACTTTCTGATACTCTACAAATGCCTGTAGCTGAGATTCCTTATAATTCAAAAGAAGATTTTAATATCACAGTAAACAAAAATAAACCGAATGATTCTTCAGTTTCCCAAAAAAAGGATGATGTGAATATTACCTCTCAAGAATTTAATGACATGTCCCAAGATGAAGACATTGTAAATCTTAAAGAACAGAAAGATATGCAAAAAGTAAAAGTTTCTAATGAAGAAAATAATAACAAGAATTGGGCGTCCGTTTCCCTTCATGCAAACAGCGCAGAAACATTGAAAAGTGGAGAAACATCAAGTAAAAGGCCGTCTAAACGTAAGAGAGGAAGCAGCAAACCTCCTGTGCGAAGAAGTTCGAGGTATACGGAAGAAATCACAAAACATATAAAATTGGAAACTGATCTTCCATATATTGACCAAGAGCTACAGGATAAACAACAAATGACATTACCCGGTATATCACATACATTGTTATCTGAAAAAGAAGCTGAAAATACACCATCAAGTACTAAAAAATCCAAGCCTCAAAAATTCGTATTAAATAGGAAAAAATATAGATGTGAACCTCCAGCAGTTGAGATCCTCTCTGAACAATCAATTTTAACTGATAAACCAGTGAAAGAAATTAAAAAACGCAAACAATATACAACCAAAGAAATGACAAGTTGTGAAGTAAGATTAGCAGACTGCAAGCATACAATTTTAAATCCAGATGTAAGTTCTGATGTATTACAGAGGTATGGGATCTCTAAAATTAATTCCTGTACATACTTCAATTCAACTCAAGTAGATTCTGTGCTAAATGCTATGCAATTAACATCAATTAAAAATTTGCCAAGTGTATGTACTAAACGAAAAATTTCAATGACTGAATGCTCACAAAGTGAATCATCAAAATTGAACAGATCTAAAAGCTCACAACCTTTCAATAATGAAATAAATTTAATTAACGTTGAGGACGATAATGCAGAGCATACAAATCCCGATATCGATGTTATGCCAACTTTAACAAAAGAGCCAGTTACACTAAATATTTCACAAGATTGTGAAAATCCAGATATTGAAATTGTGGAAGAAAAGAAAACTTCTACTACAAACCAACAGTATAGTAATTCTGAGTCAACACTAACTGTGATAGATACGAACGATGATAAAGAATTACCAAGGACACAATATACAGTCCACAAAGGTCCTATATTAGATATTAAGGTAAAGAAACGACGGCACCGTAGAAGAAGAATAAAATGAAAATATTAATAATATAAATTCATTACTACTTTTTATTTATATAAACATTTTATTTTTTTTAAGGTGCTCATTATTTTTTTTTTTTTCATAAAAGTTTGTAATACTGTTTTTTCTCATTTTTGTTATCAATTAAAAATTTTATATTTTATAAAAAAAATTTCGTTAGCTACAAGTGTACTACTAATAGGAATAGTCTTAATAAAATTGTCTAAATTTCTATTTTCAAAGATTTCACTCATTATTATCCTTCTTTACCTTTTTTATTATTATTTATTTAATAAACAATTGATTCCATTTACTGATATTGCACAAAAATTAAAGAATATTAAAGAAGAAATAATACTTTTCTATGATTGAACATAATATTCTGTGGTGAGGTTTTAAAAGTCATGTTACATTAACATTGATTACATTTAATCATTTAATTGTAAGAACAAATATGTCCTTTAGGTTTTTGAGAATTCATTCCTAGCTGCAAGTGAAGATGGCAGAATATATAGGTACAATCAAGCATCTAATGGAATATTAAACATCTATAAAGGTCATAAAGCAGCAGTAACTTGTTTATATGTATATAAAACAACCAATACAGATATTAGTAAAGAATGGATGTTTTCTGGTTCACTGGATGGAACTTTAAGATGTTATAATATCACGGTAAGTAAAGTCTCATTATAATATACAGCAATATAAAATACACTGCTATATATATTATTTTCATTAGACTGGAGCACAAGTAAGAGATACAGCAGACATAGGTAGCCCCGTACAGTGTATGGATGAAGCATGGGGGATGATTTTCATTGGTACCAAGTCTGGTCACGTATCCCGCTACCACATAAAGGTTTGTCAGAAAAATATCATAAACAAGACTGTGTTTTATAACATTGTGTATGAATTTTTTGTAAAAGAAGACACTGTTTTCCCAGTTAGGTGTTATCAAAGGAGACAGTATACAGTTTTCAGATAAATCTGTACTAGCTTTAAAAGCAACCAACGAGGGTCCTCGAAAAGTTCTCATTGTAGCATCACGGAGTCAACCGATAACTATACGAGATGCTCAAAACGGCCTATTTCTTCGTACAATTTGCGGTCAAAAGAGTCATACAGTGTATAGTTTAATGCGTGATAATAATCTAATTTATTGTGGAACTAGTAGCACATCTATACCTGTCTTTGATTTTACAGTGAGTAAAAATTATAAATATAATTAGTCAGTATGTATGTATAAAACTTACTCAATTCATACGTATCTCTTCTTCATAGAATGGTGAACAAATATTACAGTATGATGCAGGAGTAGGAATCGTTTGTATGCGCCTATACAGAGATTTACTGTTTGCCGGTTGTTACGACGGAAATATTTATGTATTTAATACGAAGGTTAATATTTTATCTAGAAAAAAGAAAACAATATTATGAAAGATGATGCTTAACTTTAAACAAATTGCAGGATCACCGACTTGTGTGTAGCATACCTGGACCAGGCAATATGTTATTAAGTATGGAAATTATAGACAATAAGGTATTTATTTTGTTAAAGTAATTTAAAAAAAGTGATTTAACATAATATGTAAATATTTACGTTTACAGATCATAGCTGGTAGCAAAGACAAACGTTTGCAATCATGGCAAATGCCACTACAAGTGCGGATTTTGTTATAGGTGAACCAAATTTGTACTAATACATCTTAGTCTAGTCGTGCTCCTAAGACAAAAAGTATTGAATTACTTTGGAGTACAGTAAACTTCTATAAAATAATTGTACAAATTAAGAGAACTAGATTTATATGTATATACACCTATAATATATATATATATATACATAACTTATTTACAAAACAATGCACATAAATAATATAAATACGTTTGTACAGAAAATTAAATTATTGGTATTGTGATGAGATCGAAATATTTACAATACACTAGAGAAATGTACTAGATTTTTGTCTGTAAAAAGCGATGAAAGAAAAAAGTATTTATTCGATTTTATAAACTTGCGCTATTGAGGACAAACCTGCTGTGCCTTGTGCGCGTTACCAAGTCCTTTTTTTTGGTATTATCAAATAAAAATACATATAAACGATACCTAAATCAGACTAAAAATTGCACTTTATAATTCAAAATTCTGTAACCTTTGCACTTAATTTTTTTTCTTTGTATGTGTTATAAAATATATTTATATTAGAATGTATTTCAATATAGTATTGCATACTTAATTAAACAGTAACACAATAAATGCAAATGCTGATATTATAATTTATATGTTATATTAAGTTTTCAGACTATTAACTTTTTATACACTGCTTAATAAGTGCAAAGGATTGAAATGCTTAGTACTAATATTGTAACATTTCAATAACGTTAATAAGACATATGTATCTGAGTTTATTGATAAATTGCATATCTTACCAAATAGTAATTGTTGCAGTTTTCTCACTATCAATAATTATTCTTTCTCCATTCATTCTTTTCTGATAATATGCATATATGTATCTTGTTCTGTACATGTTACTTTAAATTGTTATTCATATGGTAACTTTAATGCATTAGCCATGTTTTGTTGATTTTTTAGTACCGAATTTATTTAATATTGTTTTCTAATTTGTTAATAGAAAAAAGAAAGATGTTTATCCTCTTGATAGAATGGACAAATAATCTTAAAATGTAATTGTGATGAAATGTATATGTTAAGGTAATCTGTGTATATTATACATCACATGAAATATATAATTTTTAGAGGGAAATAAAATTTGTAGAGGAATTATATACCATTCCGTATTTTACCGTGTACTTCACCTATAACATATAATATTACATCCAATATGCATTGTATTTGTAAAATTATACATAAATTGATAATTAAACAATGTTGTATTTTGCATAAGTTCATTGTATATTTAGTGTTTGTTACGTGTAATAATAAAACACTTTCCGTATCTTTGACAAAGTTTATAGAATTTGTTTTTGGAAATAAAATTTCTACATAAATTAGTAATAGTAATGTACAGAGTTTTAAAGTTTTGTACATTAAATTGTATGAAAGTGTTATAAAAAGTTTGATAAAATACTTGAATCTCATACTAAAGATAATTTATTCTTTAAAGCTTAATTCAAATTTTTGTATAAGTATGTGGCTAATTAGTATCAAAATGATAAATATATATTTATATTCTCTATAGATACGAACTTGTTAAATCAATAAACCTTTACACATATACACATAAGATGATAATTTTTCAATGAAAGCATTAAAAATAATTTCCCACGTAAACAAAATTAAGTTAAACCATTTAAAATGTGTTTATGCCTTGGTCCTGCTAAGTCTGGCAAAACTATTTTAATGAAATGTTTACAGGGAGATGATGTAGATGATGCAACTCATACTGTTTCTACTAATGGTATAAATCTTTTTACAGTCAAAAACAATTCAGGTGAATTTGACATGGTTATTAAAGAAATTGGAGGTAGTATGGCACCGATATGGAAACACTATTTTGACAAGGTAATAGTTATACTTTTGAAATTGCAAATAAGAGAAAACTTTTAATTTTTTAATCTCTAGGTTCGAAAAATTATTTATGTAGTGGATGCGAGTAATCTTTGCCAGATAAGTGTAGCAGGAGTATTACTATATTCTATATTAGTAGACCCTAGATTGCAAAATATAAAAATTGCATTAACATTGAACAAAATGGATCTTTCTTATCGTCAAATGCGCAACGAAGCCTTACTTATGCTTCAATACTCTCGTCTGCAAAAAGAAATTACGCAAGAGCTAACTATATTTGAAACTAGTGGAATAACTAATGAAGGTATTGAAAAATTAAGAGAATGGTTATTTGACCCTGCTACTTTAAAATCTGCAATAAACGCAAATAAGTAGAATTAATATATAATACGAAATGATTTTATCTGGAAATGAATATTTCTTTTTATTTACACTCAATCTTATGAAGGTATAAAGATTATACAGATAGAAACTTATCAGTAGCTGACACCGATATTATTTTAATGTAACATATTGCTAAACTTTCCTCAAATTTATCTGTTTGCATTGAAAAATGGAAATATCACAAATAAAACTCATTATTCATCTCTAAGCATAAGAGATTTCTTTTGTAGTTTGATATTAATTTCATTAATTTTCACAATAACTGTAAAATTTGATCAAAAAGTTTTTGAATTCATTCCACCTAAGTACTTACTGTTTAATAAATGTTAGTGATAAGAATAATCCGTTCTTAAAATAAATTCAAAAACTTTTTGACCAAAATTCAGATGCATGTACTTACAAAGTAAGTGAACTATTATAATAATACAACTCTAAATCAAACTACAAAAATTCAAGTGTATATTATTGAAAACAGCTTTTATAAGGATAACATTGAAGAAAATGTACTGCTTTTTTTTGTACTACTAATGATAAATATATAATTATACGTACAATTCTTAATTCATTTTTCAAATATTAAGACTTTCCTTACCGATCTATCCGTCTGTGAGCTTCTTAAAATGTAATAAACTATACAAATCAGGCAAAAAACTACATTTTAATGTATTCTTGTAAGATCCTCTACTATTTTTACAAGATCATCTACTGTTGCTTCTTTTTTCATGCCACTAGGATCGTCGATCTATAAAAAGGAAAACAAATTAGAAATAGAAATAAACTATACATATAATTAAAAACAAAAAATTATTTACCATAAGACCCATCGCAACTTCCGCCATTTTATCGGGACTTAAGTCGAGAAAACTTTCTATCAAATCTCCGTCTATGAATCCTTCACACTGTTCAATTTTTAGTTCAGTATTAAAACTCCTCCAAAAGTTATGTTCTATTTTACCAACGCTTTTTATTACACTTGTTAATCTGTCTTCAAGATTTCTTAAAGATTCATAGAATGAAAATGGAATTTGTGTAACCAAACCAATTGCACCGCTGACGGTACCAAACAATACGCAACCTTGTGTGGGAGTACTTGATTCACCTAAATTTTGCATTACTAAAGATCCATGTCGGAAAACATTGACCATATCACCTAAGTGAAATTGTCCAACTTCTTGCATTTGTTGTCTTTCATCTTCTGACGTAGCAGCACTGAATTAAATTTTAATTTATTACCATATGGTATTAAAGGTATGCATAAACATAATAAAAAAACGTGTAATCTTACCTATCCTTTTGACAAACAAAAAGATTGAAACAATTTTCAGCACCTAAGAATGTATCATCATCTAGAATTTCAATAGCAGTCATCCAGTTTGGATTGTAATCTCTTGCAATTTCTTCAAAGCTACCTTCCATTGTTTTATATTGTAGCAATGTAAGAGATCTCATGAGATCTCCAACTAAAACAAAGTCTCCTTTTGTTTTCAAGTAAAGAGCAATGATGTTATTAAAGTGGCTACATTCTAGCCTGAGTTCTTTTTCTGCAGTCCATTCAAACAAACGAACAGTGCTATTAATACTAGCAAGAAGTTTTCCATTGAATTCAACCAAAGAATAACATGACCCTTTGATTTCTTTTTCAGCAACCTGTGTAAGTTTTCCATCATTCCAATGATATAAAAGTATTCTACCCATTTTTGGCTCAGTTTCGTCAGGATTAACACGGGCAGTTCCAACCACATAATAGAAAGTAGGATCTTCACCCAATTTTGTTGATATTAATGACAATGCATATTCATTAGGCATTAACATGTGTGCATGTAAAACTTCAAAAGTATGTTGATCTATAATGAGTAGATTATGTACTTCAATTTCTTGGCTAATATCACTTGCTGTAGGCTTATTGTGAGATGCAATGTGACTGCTGCTAGATGTTGAGGCAGCCTGTGTTGATGCTGAATGTCTTACAATGCTAACACCGCTACTGTCTTGAATATCAACCCGCATCGTTATTACACCGAATGTTTGAGAACTTTCTTGGTAAGCAATTCGTCTCGGTGATTCACCAAGAGGAACTGTTCGAATGTGCAGTTTTTGTATTTCATCTATTGTTCCTATTGTCACAGTACTGTCAGTTGCTAATGCTAAGCTATCAGGATATGATTCCGCGTTTAAAGAACACATGTGGTTTACTTCTTTCAAATTAACATTGCTGAATACTAGTTTATGATTTGATGAATAAATTACAGTCGGCCTATCAGAACATGCAAAAACATTGGTAGTAGACAATGATCTGAATGTTCTTAGGACTGTTGGCTGTGTACCCAAAGTAACTTTCTTTTTATCAGAAAGTATACCATTTTGTTTGTGTAAAGTAAAGTAATACATACTACCATCTCCAAGAGCGCATAAGAGATATGTATTACCTTCAAAGCATGTCATTAGAATAGATCTAGGTATAATTTCACCTCCAAGTAATTCTTTATTGATTTCTTCCAAAGCAGGTAAAGTTAAAATACGAACAGAAATATCAGTCCACAAGCCTACCGCAGCGATTTTTGCTTCGGTATTGCCATCTAATGGAGATATATCTAGACATGCTACTTCATACTGTAAGGTAGCAAATCCTTTTGGTACAATTTGTCCGCATGAAATTTCCATGTAAAATAAATCATTTCCTGTAGCACAGAGTACTTGTGTGCCATTACAAGCAACAACGCTAATGGTTCTTTTGTTTTCTGGTTCCCATTCAGACACAACTGTTTTAGTTTCGTGTGAAATTAATCTGGCAGATGTTGGTGTTATCTGGATAAATAAATCATTTGTAACATTTCCAGTATGAAAAGTTTGCTCATCAGAAACAAAGCCTGGAATGTCTGTTTCTTCAACTTCTTCCCCATTTAAAGTTAATATTCTGGTTTGCCCAACAAAAGATAACACCAAAGTATTGTCAAAATTACCTCCACCAATTTTCAATGCCCACATACCCTTGATTCCTGGCAAATCTATACTTGCATGTTCTTCAATGCCTATTCCATTTCTGATAATTCTAAGAGAACCTTCTTTGAAAGCTCCAGAACATGTAACCATTTGTCCCTGACCCTGCCTTTCAAGATCAACTACTGCCATATCAACTATCGGTGCCAAATTAGTAAAAGTTTCCATTGGAACACAATAGGAACCATTTTCATCTGCTTTTGTGATTAATTTAATTAACTGTGAATCACCCAAACGGCTACCAACAAATATTACTCCATTATCTAAATATGTAATGCATTCTGGTATGCTAATTTCTCCCAACAGTTCAACTTTTAGATCTTTCACAACTTGTGTACCATCTGGCTTCTTTTCTTGTTCTAAGAATAGCATAAACAAATGCCCAGCCATGTCTCCTAATAAATATCTGAGTCCTTGATTATCAACTTTAGCATAACATGTAATTGTACTCTGTTTAATAATTGGTGGTACAACAGCAACATATGTAGTTCCATCATGATACAATATGCTTTCCTGACCTATTATTATTGCACCACAAATAGGTGAAGGTACAGGAATAACCATCATAGCTTCACGTTCCACATTGTCTTGTCTCCAAGGTATCTTAACAAATTCTTTGTCTCTTAAAGATATTTCATGGGTTTTAACATGTCTGCCATTAATATCTTGATGAATTAAAATTAAAGTGGGATTAGCACATCCATGAAGAAAATTCACATCTTGTACTTGTTGTTCATCCATACGTATTGATGATGCTTTTAACTCTGGATTATCTTTGTCAAGAGGTATGATTTTAAATAGACCATCATATAATCTGAGGCCAATCACACGTGCCTTAGGATCAATCACAGCTTTAATTCCAGTTTCAGAAGCCTTCCCAATACGATCTGCCACATTTCCATGTGCTTTTGTTATAATTTCTATATCTTCTCCTTCTCCAATACATTCCAAAATCATAGCATTATAACGAGTAGTTAAAAGAAACAAAAGATCTTTCTTTTCATGCTGTAGAAATAATGTAATTTATTAATTATATACTAATTTATTTTATTGTAACTTAAAACTTATATGTTTGAATGATTGCATCTAATTTCTCAATCTATCATCGTGTACATACATTATTAATAATTAACTTTTAATACTTCTAAGGTTGTATTTCTTATTATAAATATAAATTTAGTGTACTGTACAAATTCTATTTTACTAAATATTAATGACAAAGCAAAAAAATAAACATGTAATGTAAAACTCATCAAACAAGGATATCAGGATAACCTTACCGGTGGTCTAAAGAATTTAACGACTGCAATTTTTCCGTAAATTCCAACTTCTTTCAGTGGTCTTAAACCTTCAGGAGTAACGAGATAAATTTCTAATCGAACGTTTTTTGCTAGGATCAGATTCAGATCCGTAGGTGAGGTAAAATTACCTTTATAAGCAAAAAAAGAGTAGTTGTTTATCAACGTAAATTTGTTATTTTTTTACGAAACACATTTACTTACCTGTCACACACGCAGTGACAGCTGTAGGTTTGTGTGCTGTTACTACATAATGATGAGACATTGCTTTCATAATATTTTATCCAACAACACTTTTCTAAATTTGTTAACTATTCAAGCACAAGTGTGTACACACATACGATCAAGCCACTGGCCTTGCTTGGTTTTCAATTTCACGCCAGTGATACTAGATGGGATAGGTTTTTTCGCGCATGCGCAACTTTCCGTGATGCAACGATGAAAATTACAACAACGTATGCAACAGTACTTACACGTGACGGTGGCGCGGATCCCAGAGTTTTGGCGGGACTGCACTGAGCAGTAACAGGTTTTTTACCTTATCATCACCTTTTTGTCTTATATCATAACATCATATTATATTACTTATATTTATTGTTTATAATTCAATTTTAATTATTTAATTCAACATTTTTTAATAATTAAATGCAGGAGCACTATAGCACTCTCGTTTCATGCGAGTGATTACTTCGTTGATACTATATTCAATGCGCATGCGCGGAAATACCTATCCCATCTATACCGCAGTTCACCAGAGTCCATAACTGCGAAAAGACCAGTTTTCGTTCTTCGCGCATCTCCAGTACGCATCTTCGTCCTGATTGGCGATACTCCCAAACGAAGTGGAAAGCGATTAGCAGAGAGCTCGCTGAGTTCCCCC